ATTACAATCGACTCTAACTTGGGCGATTCAACACCTTATGTAACTATTGTGAATTCATCATCGTTAAAACCGTTTGTTCAACAATTTTTAAAGTCTTTGACAATTGAATATGACGTATTGGTAGCATCATCATTCATATTGTAATCACGATTCAAACCAAATTCAGTTGCTATTCTTTCTTCTGTTGATGCTGATAAAAAGGATTTAGTCATAATAGGTTTATCGGTAAGTTTATACAGTTCTAAATCATTCTGGCTTAATGTCATACGATGATAACATTTTCCAAAAACGATATTCTTTTAATTTTGAATGTTGTCCAATAATGCTCAGCAGTACAACATATTTTGAGACGGCGCATCTCGAACACTAAAAGGCGCGAATGTATCTTTCAATACAGTTGAAGGCTATGTACAGGATTTAACTGTGAATTCATTTCAAAGTGAACAAAAAATCAAAAATCATTTTTAGTATCAAAAACTTCCGTCGTCAGTTTTAACACAGAAAGTGGAACGGTTGCGTCGGTTAACCAACAAAGCGGAATTAAGATCGATCATTCTGAGAATACGGCGATCGTTATGCATGTGCAATCTTAGAAAAGTTTGAGTTATGTTAACGAACTGTTCAAGAAGGCTCACAGCTTGTTTACAGTGTCACAGTAAGTTTCAAACCAAACTGAAAGTTTAGTAAAACGTGGAATTGTCTAGTTCACAATTCTGTATAGAACCGCAACCAAAGACTTAAAAATATCTTTTTCTTGTGGTTGCTTACTGTCGAAAGTGGCAATGTTTTCTGTTTACTTAATAATATTAATTTTTCCGAGTTTTGTGAATTGACATAGATGCATGTTTAAGTTTCTAGACTCCTTCCTTATCGTCACTAATCCTACCTCTGGACGTCGAAAGAGATGTGATGAGAAAAAGGAAGATATCTTAGTAAAATCCTTCATAAAAATATCTGAGAATATAACACTCTTTATGGAAAAAAGAGTTTTCCTGTCGAAGAAAAGCCGGATATTATCTTTTCCATTGGAATATAGCAAAAATGGAAGGTGAACCTTTTAGTTTAATTTTTAATACGTTTTATATGTGTTTGTTGTTTCTAATTCAAGTATTGTATGAATACTAGTACCTAAAAGTATAACAACATTTATTAAATGTGTCATTGAATAAAAAAGTGATTGCAAAGCAATAATAACTGTGTCAATTTCATCATTGATAATGGTATGTAGTAATACAACTTGGTCATTTTCCATTTTTGTTTCATATAATGCTGTAACTAATTGATTTAAAGATAACTGATGTTGTTCGTGTAATTGTTGAACACCAGCATGCAATAATATTAATCGTTCTTTATGTTCACGTACATAGTCATCTGGATGAATTTTATTATATTTTCTTGATTGACATTCTTCGATATTGTCAGTTTTACGTCTTTTATGTTTACAATTACATATTGTTTGTGATAACGAAAAATATTCAATCCATAAATCAAGACAGTCGCTTAATTGTTGAGTGATTTGTGATATTTCTGAGTGTAATTTTGGTATTAAACCAACTTGCTGTAAATATTCTATACTTGAACACGTTCCACTAATGCATACTAATGATGTATCAATATTGTGTAACATACGAAATACATCTATTTGTTGTTGAATTAATGTTTTATACTGACTTTTAGAAAATGATTTTAACCAAAATGTTGGTTCAACCGATGCTTCTCCAACTAAAATTCGTTGAACATCAATCAATGATTGAAATATTGAATGTTGTGATGCTAAAAAAGCACCTAATTTTAACTGTTTATCAATATCAATTTGGATCGTTGTTGTTGTATTATTTGTACGTAATAATAACAATTGATCATAAATAATGTGAACTGTTTTTATTGAATTTTTACATGTTATTAATGCTAATTTAATATTTTCTTTTAATCTATCAATGGCAAATACGGGAAATATTATAATAGTTAGAATAGCTCCAATACTAATACCAACTAAATTTTCTTCAATTCTTAGTAGAGCATAATCACCAGCTGGTTTTTTATCAGCATACGGTAATCGACCAAGATTAATTACAACAGGAGTAAATGCAGCTACAGAACCCGTATAACTCCATGATACACCCCGTTTAATGTAACCACAAAGTAACATCCACGGCACGAGCATAGCAAATATATGATAAACATTATCACCAACCGATAAATGGGTGATATATGACCACATGGCTCCTAAAATATTGATGATGGAATACTACCAAAAATAAACCTTATAAACAACTGATCTTTTTACTAGGGGCGTGACAGTTTCAGTTTAGTTTCTTTATAACCACTCACCACTATCGTCTCCAAAAAGCATTGCCGATAACTGTTTTACGAATAACTCTTAAACGCGAAACACTACAGACTTGCGCCTTTCACTACTCGATAGTCAAGACTTTACAATATTTTCTCATAAGAAAAACCTTTTAAAAAAGAATTTCTAATCTCGGTCGTGACTCAAAAAGTAACTTAACAATCTAATGATTTTTTTCATAGGTAGGTAGATTAAAGTGTTCTCTACAAAATGGAAGCTAATGAGATTTTGATTTCCAGTGATTCCCGTATGGTATTGAATTTCCTTGAAGTCCCTGGATTGGTATTCTGCGACTATTGCTAGCTTCCGAAACGGATGGACCATAGGTAATCAATTATGCCCAGTCTTGTGGCATTTTAGAAAACGATTTTGAAAACTAACGAAAACCACATTTTTCGAAAAGTAGGGTTTCCTGCCTGTTTTCGCCTAACATCAGACATTCAATATTCGCTCAGAAAACACTAGAACGAGTACAAAAAACTTCAGGATATGGTTAATGTTATCCGGGAGACGTAGTTATAAGATCGAAGACGTTGAAAAACCATGTTTTTGTCACAGGCATTTCAGAAAATCTTTCGAGAAATCACAAGTTCTTTAAATTCTTTGTTGTAATTTTCTTTTAAATAGAATATAAAATAGTCAAAATACTGTACATCCTGAAATTCTGAACTTGTGTCTGGTGTTTTCTGAGTGAATATTGCGTTTTTGACGGTTGACACGTATCAAAGCACGGAAAGATACGCACACATAAAAATGTTTGGTTTTCCTCAGCCACGTTCTGATCAGCTCAATAACACACCGACCTCTAAGAAACATTAATTTTCTACATTGCTATTAGGATTAAGCGTGCCACTTTACTTTTTCGAAAAAAGTAACAAATCAAATTTTTGTTACTGCTTTACCTTTTACTTTTCAGGGGTAACAAAGAAAACTACTTGTTACTCATAACAGGAAATAGTCAAACATTTCTTGTCACGGATAACAAGTAACAACTTGTATTACCTTGTTACTTTAAGCACAAGGAATAAAGTAAGTTTTTTTCCCGTTCTTACCATCCTTCGGAATTATGATTAAACAGAAATATCGTTTAATGACTATTGGAATAACATTTTTGAAGTAACACAATGATTTCAGACAGTTGTGGCTGTGCTGCGTGAAAAAAGAACAACTGTGCACTTTCTGAAAGTATTAAAAAGAGTTTTGTAGTTCAACTATCTATTAGACACTCGAATGTTTTATTGTGACTTTAGTTCTGTTGTTCCATTACACTTATATACTTATTAGAGAACACACTGTTACACGTTTCTGCTCTTAGACAATCATTGCAATCTTGTATTGTGTACATGGCTGTCTGTTTCCTATAAACAAACCTTCACATTACTTCCTCATTCGTTAGTCTATCTTAAATGGCCGAAAAATATTAGATTAAAGCCCTATTACAGTATGAATAAAATGCCTATGGTTTTTACAACAATATACTACCGAATAGTCTCTTAAAATGAGACCGAAACTAATAATGTATTACTTAAAAACAAGAATAACCAGCTCCAAATAACTATTTTCTTGTTACCACTCACTAGTAAAAAGTAACTTTTTTGTTACGCTTAGAGGTAACAAAATAGTTACTAGTAACTAGAAAATAACAAAAAGAGTTACCGTTTCTAGTAACAAGTAACTTTTAAACATTTCTTGTTAAGAAACAGTAAAGTGACACCACTGATCAGGATTATTCAAACCGCGTTAACAGATATGATGCATAGGAAGTTTAGCTTTTCAACATAAAGAAGAAGAACCTCAATAAAACGGGGATATTAAGGGATTTTAGTAATTTTCTTTCCGCCGGTATGGCAAAAAAATTCGTTAAGATCGAATGTATCGCTTCCAGAAAACTAGAGTTTTCATGTTTTAGTGATATTGTTATACCGCATACTGAAGTGAACTGAACCTTGTTTTATGTGTAGACAATAATCTTTCGGAAAATCCTTTACACGTAGTTAAGTACAAAAAGCCAGAGGCTGATAAAAAATGTACCACCTGTACGGGAACGAAGAAAATATCGGTTTGAAGATTAGTAAAAGATATAAAAAAAGAAAACTCAAATGGAAAAGAATCAAACTACTGTGCCAGAAGTGGCCATGTTCAAAACACTAAGATATATACAAAGAAGAATAACAAAGTTAATGATGCTGCAAAAATTACTCAAATGCGCAGCTGGATTCGCAATGCTCTTTTGAAAGAAATGACTGTTCTCGCGGTCACTACTTGTTCTGACAGAGTTTCGGTCGACTGCTGTTCGGTAAAAATTGAAGAGGCTACATGTTCTTTGGAAACTGTCAGAGTTTCAACCTGCATACTACTGTGTCGATCAACGCTAAGTCGATCTGATCTCTGATTAGTTACCGGTTTTATAAAAGTGTAGCTGCCTAAAATATTTTCTCCTTATCCTTAAATCTGAAAGTTTTAGTTTACTAACTAAAGATGTTGCAGATTCATCAAATTTCTTAGATATCATTCGTGCACGTTTATCTTCCAATTTTCCTTAAAACTGCTTCGGACAGAAATCTTCTGATTCTTAAGCATCAACTAAATATCTCATTAGCACTGAATGCCATCCTATGCTTGATAATCGTCACAACGTGCAAAAACAAAATATGTTCGAAATCTACTTTTTTACCAGAAGCTTTTAAAAATCATAAGAAATCAGTTGTGATTTTACTTTTGAACTCCGCTAGGTCTCTTCTGTTTGTCCAGTTATTTTTACGCTCTTTTAAGGAATATCTTTGAAATAGTTCTATCTATTTTCTAAAGTTCGTTGTTTCAAATTTAATAAAAAAACTGAAATATTAACGTTCTAATATTTAATTCAAAACTCAAAGTTACTTGAGTTTTTGAAATTAAAAATTTGTTCACCATACGCTTCTCCACAAGATCCTTTTAGTGAATATTTTTTGTACTCAAAACTGTCAAAACACGGTTGTCTTTGAAATCATGAGAAAAAAGCGATTCTTGAGGAAAACACAATTAAGTGTGATACATGATGACCTAGCAGTAAAATGCCGGTTTCTAAAAAACAGAATTCTCTCTACTGTTTTGTGACATGTTTCCATCGGCAGACACCTTTCCAGAAGAATTTCGTAAAACAGGTTTTCTGCAGAACCTCTGGAAAGTTTGACCGTATCTTACCATTTCTAATAGAATTACAGTAATGTGTTACTATGAGTTGATAGCCCAGAGTATCCTCTTCCAAATTGTTACAGCACGTTGATGTTCAGTAGTCTGGTATGATATAGAGTCGTAACCGATTGAAAAAATTGGAATCGCGCTTTAGCCATTTATCGGCCCATCAGAAATCATTTGCCATCTATAGCAGCAGTAGTTTGTAGTCCAGTAGTTCGGTATGGCATCGAATTTCCTTAGAATCTTAGGACTGGTACTCTCTGGCTATTGGTCACCTCAAAAACGAGTAAAGTATTGCTAATCCAACATAGTATAGTTAATCAGCACTTCTGTTTTTCGCTTAAGGGCACATCATTAATCATTAGATGCAGTATTATCTGGTGATCACGAATCTGACCTTATTTTTTCGATTTGAGCGAGTTTTCGCCGCGAAAAACGCCCAAAACTGCCTTTTGAGAAAATCACTCTAATCTTCTCACAATTTTATTTTACGATCTTACCAATGTGATTTTCAGATTTCTCGACTCAAACTGAGTCTAGATACATGGTCTAGAGCTTGATCACGCATATCGTATAGGCTGTGGAAATTTAAAAATCGGTGGTCCTCCGTTGGTGCCACCTAATCTTGCAATCCTATCTAGTTTTTTTTTCTAAAAAATACCTTTCGAGGATAAGAGGTTTGACGGCCGAATGAAAGAAATAGCCGATTGACTGGTAACCGTTCCGATTAAATTTTTCAGTTAAAGATTCATCGATTTATTTTTAGAAAAAATGTTTTGTGGCCAACAGCAACGTAACAAAAGATAGTATAGATTTCTAATTGAAGCTATAGTCAGTACAAAACTTAAACTTTGTAGCTGAAGTCAGTATATTTTTTAACAAACTTTCTCTATTATTTTCTCTTTTGACGATTAGTTCCCGTTTCGTCGAAAACTCACTGTCATATTGTGGCGGACGCCTCTGAAATCCTTTGAAGTAAATACTTTTACACTGACTACTTTTCGAAAAACTTCGA